TAGGTTTGCAAAGAGGAGAAAGCCTCAGCACCTTCCTCATGCTTCGATCTTTCTGTCTTTTGTTCATTAGGTCCGTGTTGCAGATCTATCTTCTTCTTTGCTTTTTGTTAGTTGATTCCTCTTGGATAGCGATGATGGTTTGCTTGTTGTTTGTTTCCTTGAGAGTAATCGTCTTTTGTTGTTTGTGTTGATGCAGCTGCTCAGCAGTTCAAGTGACAGAAGAAGCATGGTTTTGGATTCGTATGTGAATTTGTCATTAGTTTTTGAAGTTGAATCAGCTGCTCAACAGTTCAATGGCTATGTAAGATGATACTTACTCTAACTTAATGTATCTTTGATTGTATGAGTTATGTGAGAAAATTATGTATCTTTTCTTGTTGGTATGCGTTTGTGTGTTGGTTTTTGATTTGTGAGTTAGTGTATATATATTCATTTCCAGATGAGAAATCAGGTCTGAGCTTACACCTTCTTTAGCTTCATGTTGCAATTTTTTTCACAGTGGCAATAGAACGATTAGCAAAATTTTCTACCGATTTATAGGAGGGTATTGCTGCTCTTAACCTCTATGTCATACTTCAATCTAAACTATAAAACCAAAATCCATGTTAATTCGTTTAAGCATCATTCATTTGAAGTCTAACGCTTCATCTATTACAGGTGAGGTGTTGGGAAATATCTTGTAGTGGAGCCTCTATAGCCAGTGCTCCAAAAGCATCATGTCGCATGATGTATGTTGCTGACCAAAAGACACAGACGCAGATGAAGGAATGGGCGAGATGGAGTTCACCAAAGCTTAAATTTATTTTGGCCTTTTGTATATATATGATATTTGTCACCAAAATGTTTCTTTAATTTTTTTTTGGCTTCTAAGCCCAATGAATCGGTTAGTATAAATATACTTAAAAAAAGATTTGAATTCACAAAGAAAATATCAAAACAATCAATTTTAATTTTTTTTGTTCAACATATTCTTTTCATTTCTTACTCTTCCACACTACAAGAGGGAATTATCCATCCTCTGAAGTTTTGATAATACAAATTAAAGACAAAATATATTAAAGCAGATAGAGAGTGATCAAATGACATCAAATTCGGAGTTAAACTCGAATGCGTCGATGAGATCTTGCTGGCAAAGCCGCAACGGTTGGATATAGTGACGTTGAAGCTGAAGTCTTGCCTCCGAAATTCACCAAAGCGATTCCGTTTGTCTCTTCGGGTCCCATACGAACCACTACCCAAGAAAACACATAGACAAAAACATTCATAGTTTTTCATGGCATTAAACTCGGGATAATTTCACCTCTCAAAGAGAAGGAAGTTTGTAAAAGTCTCTCCCATAGGAAGGAGATTGCTAAGGTCGACATCACAACTTCCGAATGGATCCTAACTATCCCGATAAACCAATCGAGGAAGACATCAAGATATGTGGAACTCGGGGATGGGCTTGAAATGGGAAAGGCTATTGAGCTAAGAAGCCCACTTAACAGTTTATGAACATCCCAAAAACACTCCTCGCCGGATGTGTATCGGCACTTCGGCAGTAATACCGAGATTTCGGCAGCAATACCGAGATTTCGGAAGGAGGCAGCCTTATCCGATAGCTGAACCGGAGGGATGGATGAATGGCTATGTAAAACCGGAGACTCACCAAGTCGGGTTTGAGACTATCTCCGGGAGGGAAGAAGTTGATCCATGGTGGTTGGAGATGCGGCTGCCAGATGGATGGGCCAGCGAGACTATCAATCTGGCTCGGTAAAAGGGTGGTGGTAATGGTGGTCTCTCCAGGCTCGAATTGGAGGACAAGGATTTTAACGAACCAAGTAATAACATGCACAAATCGGCGGTACAACATTGCAAGGATAAGAGTTGAGATTTTATCCGGAGAGGCATGTAGATCCGGAAGCTGCAAACCGCATAAGGAAGAGACAGGAGCAGGCCTAAGATCCCTCCAAAGGACACGACCACCAGACCGAGAAAGGTATAGATTGTCGAGCCAGAGAGAGACAGAGGAACCACATCAACTATAGAGATAAGGAGTCTACAGTAATGTGAGGAGATGGAAGATCTGGTGCGAGGAGAGAGCCGGGAGGGTCAGGAGGTTCGGGCATAAGAGCCACATCTAACAGATCTAGAGTAATGGCCAGCGGCGGCGGCTCGGGAGGAGGAGGAACAAGCCACCTCTCAACCAGAACAGGAGCAAACAAAACTAGAGCCATGGAAGAAAGGAAGAGGAGGGATGAAGAAGAAGATTCTCGTCGGTGGGCGAGAGGCCACACTGACGGTGGCGGAGCTCAAACGAAAACCCTAATCGCTATCTTCTTTGGGAGAGAGAAGCAATAGATATCATATCATAATTTTAATTTTATATGAGAATTTTTCCTTTTAGTTATGTTATTGTTATTCAAAATGAGTAAAGAGAGCATTACCAATACACAACCAAATATTGATTTACAAAATAAAAAACTAAAAGACATGATCATTTATTTAAAATTTAGTGCATTGGATTTGGGGTTTAGGGTTTCAAATACATATTTTTGTGTTAACAATAGAAATATATATAAACTTTTATAGATTAATGAGATTTTGATTTAGGGTATAGAATTTTTAATTTTTAAGTGTAATA